TTATTACTTCCTAATTTCTTGGTAATTCATTAGTACGTGTTTTTACGCAGAAGCTGGTACTTTGATTGTTTGATGTAGGAAAGTGGTTCAACACTTTGTAACCAAAAGCCACCAGGCAGAATGAGACTACCAACTAGCAACCTTCAAAAATACTTTCTACCTTGAGTTAAGTTGTTCCAGGTACACAGGAACATTGGCAATTCCTTTTTTATATATATCTTTTGGAAATAAATTGAAGAATCTATTAAGGAAGTTCTGTACTCTCCTAATTAACCCTTATATTCATGATCTATTAAATAGAGTTCAGTTTTCAGTATAGCTCATGGAACATAAAGTCTTGCACAATGTGGCATAGTTGTGGAAATACCACTTCAGTCTCCAGGTCTGGTAGGCTATGTTTGCAAGAAAAAGAAAACATCACACAATGAGGGCATTCTGGAAATCTTTTTTTCCTCCACTTCAGTTGCAAGCACATACGTACAGACTGACCTGCTCTATTCTGTCCTAGTTCATGCTGTTGTCATCTCTTATTGCATCACTTTATAAGAATTTAAGAGAGATGTGTGAGGGAATCATGTGAAATTGATGACATTTTTCACATACCTCATGTGAAAGGTCTGTCTGACCTACTGCGGTTACTGTTCCCACATCTGCTTTGCATGTAAAGCTGTGCAGATAATGGTGACTCTGAATGGACTAAAGATCCTCAGATGCCACTGTCTCAGGAGACAATCTTTGCCAAAACAATTGGGCAACCATTTGAATTGCTTGGAAATTTTCTGATGAAATAGTCTTTTGCTGAAATTTATCAGCATGGTGAAACTGAAATGTTTTGCAGATACAGACCAACTTTTGCCAGGGTTCTGATGGAACATAAGCAGAGCTGTTGCCTTTGGTTTGATCACTTTTCTGGCAACCCACCTCCTTGGCAGGTTACTGTGATGCCCAGGCTTCTGGGATGTGTTTTTCATTCTGCTATTCATACAGCACCTGTAGGTAGGTTTTATTTATATGAAAACCTAGAGCAAGGGCTTCATTATGTTGTGAAGAACTTAAAAATCCCAGGTTTTATTTATAATCAGAAGAAAAAGATTAAAATCATCATGCTAGCAGCTTCTGTCTGGCTAGTCCCTGTGTCGTACAGGCAGATCAGGCCAGGATCATTATTCTTTCCTTGTGCAAAAGTTCATGGACTCTTGCTGAATTGCTGATACAGGCAGTGGTTTGCCAAGTGAAAACTGTAAGCAAATGTTATCTTTGCTTCTCTGGGTTTTATAGCATATGTTTTGGTATGTTAGAGATGTCATCTTCCCTCTGTATCTGCTTGTTACCAAATGCATTCAGATTCTGATGTATCAAAAATCCTTGTGTGATATTAACATACAGCTGATGAAACAGGAAAAAATCCTTTGGAATTGCTTAACTTTTTGCAGTGATTTCTTCTATGAGCAGTTGTTTTCTTTGTGGTAGTGGCTTTACCTTGTAGTGGCTTTAGATCCCCCAAATAAGTAAAGCATATGAGAAAAAGGCGATGATAACTGAAGACGGTCTTTCCCTACAGAATGTTGTTAAACACATTTCAAGGTAACATTTTATATTTTTGTAAGAGCTATTTTAAAAGTTGCAACACCATACCTGGGAAAGGAAAGCAGAGTTTTCTTACTCTAGAACATTTTACAATTAAAGCAGTAATTAATTTTCTGTGGAAACATAGCATTTGTTGTCTAAGCAATGGTAGAAGCTCTCAGATTTTCTAGGTTGCTGAAGTATTTTTGAAGTTATTGCTGAATACTGTGAGTTTGATAAAGTTAGTGAGAAGATTTTTTTTAACATTTTTTTTTTCCATGAACGCATGTAGTGGAAAGATAGGAATCTGTTGCTGTGAATTTTTTGTGAAATACTAGCTGATATATGACCATGTTCTAACAGAAGAAGAACTTAAGAATCTTTTGTCAGGCCTTTCAGGACTAATTGTCACTATGTACTTGTGCACATAGTGACAGTTTGAAGATGCATTTCCATACCAGTTAAACAACGGTCCTTGAATTTAGTATACCTTTCTGACCACTGTCTGCCTACCCCACTCCCCAAAAAACCTTCAAGAAAGCAAATCACACCAGACGTGCAAGGACTGCTGCATACTGTGTGTTGTATGCACAAGATGAATACTGCTGTTATTGTTTTTAAGATGTTAAAATTTTCATAGTGTAACAGGCCATGCTGGACACGTGCCATGAGAAGGTCTAGTTGTGTGCAACTGTAAAGATACTCTGAATATAAATATTAAGTATAATTTTTATGTGTAAACCAAACAAGCCGAACAAAGCAATCAGATTTTGGAAACTGACTTTTTGTCTTACTCCAATCTTATTTCCAAAGGTAGAATTTATTTTATATCTTGTAATAAGATCCGCAATACTGATTAGAACTTACTAATGATGTTCTCCCATTAATATATATTAGTATATACTAATAGTATTAGTACGTATTGGTATATATGACTAATGTTTATAGAGTTCTTTCAAATTTCTTGAAAGAAGGATGTGTGTATAAGCAGGTGGAAAGTGTGTTGTTTTTTGTTTTGTTTTGTTTTGTTTTTGTATTTTAAAGTTTGCACAGGATGTCCTGCTCTACTAGCAATAAACATCTTGAGTTGTTGGGAGGCAAGCTATGTCTTGAAGGCCTTAGAAATGTAGTATAATAGAAAATGCTATTATAGTCTGTCTCCTCAGTTGCTTGTAAATTGAGTATTCAAGGTGCACAGTAGCACAGGTACAATAAACACTAATTGCGTTTATGGGAGTTCTGAAAGCCTGCTGAGAAGTGACCTCTCAGGCTGTAAGGTTTCTACTGCATATTAAATTCTGTACTGTATTCTTGGCAAGTACTGACAACAGGAAGATGATGGACGAATGTGTTTTGATAGTTTCATTAGATTCTGAAGTTTGTTCTGCATTAGGGCATTTAAGTCCTTGCAGCTGCCATAAATGTGGAGTGGTATAAACTTAAACAAACTGGAAGAAAAGAGGAAATGAGAGAGGTAGATTGCTGGCGAGATGGCGCGCTCTCAGGTTGGCGTGACCAGGAATGTAGGCAACATCCTTTGCAATCCTGCTGCTAAAAGAACAAGTTGTGTCAGACAAGACTTAATGAGGCAGAAAGTTTGTAAACTGGGTAGTTTTATGAGGCATTGATACAGATCTTGTAAATAGGTATGTCTGCAGGCATGTGGGGAAGAAGGGATTGGCTCTCATTCTTCTGAGCAAGAGTTAGAGATGTTACGATAAGCCACCGTGAGCTTGTTCAGCTTTGACTCCCTAAATTTCAGTGCTTTTTGTCCAGAGCTGCGAGTTGTTCTTTCACAAGCAAGCAGTGTTTTTTCTGTTTGTCATATGAAGTAGGAGAGACTTGATATTAGGTTCCTTTATTCAATTGTAGCATTTGAAATGCAAGCGGCAGAGTTACCAAGCTTACTCAAATGCTGCAACCCTTGTTCTACTGGGCGATGCTGGCTGGAGAATGGAAGTGGCTTGAGTTTTCAGCTCGACCTGGTTTGTTCCATCACCTCATTGGCAGCTCTCTCATAGTTAATCACATTGTGCAACTGATCTGAAGTTTGTGGGAAAAGTTCACAGTTAACTACAGTCAGGTAAATCTTGATGTGGTGTCGCTCAGAGTCAAAAGCCAGGCTGGGAGAGATGGACGCAGAGCAGTTATGAACACGGGGCAGCACTTTTAAAACAGAAGCAGTTTAGAATACCCCTAGGTCTGAAGCCTGCTTGAGCAGGTAGTGGTCCTGTGCTTCATTGGAAGCTGGGGCTGTCAGATCAGCATGCAAGAAAAACATGTTCAAAAGGTTAGTGAAAGACTGTGCCCAGTCCCCAGACAGCTTCCTCTGGAAAACTCACATTGACTCTACTGGACTTTGGATCAGATCTTAATTGGCTGACTAGACAGCATTTGAAGGAGCATCCCTGGAGGTACATACAAAATGTGCATCTGCCCAGACAAGGCATAACTGCTTATGTCTAAAGCCTGTACTGCAAGGAGAGAAACACTAACCATTTCCAGAACAGTCTGACTTCGGTGGAGACAGAAGATGAGTTTACTGCTCGCTGAGATGGTTCCGTTTCTCAGGGTGTTGATGATACTCAGGAGGCATAGCAAATGGTGCTGAGGAAATGATGTTCATTTCCTTCTCTTTGCTCCTGTCCAGGAAACTTCTGTCTGAAGTCACCAAATCTAAAACTGGAAGAGTGTTCATATTCTGAATTTCTGAATTCTATCCCCTTTGAACTTCTGTTGTCGTCCGTCCGCCTCCTTTGCCCCCCATTCAGTTTTTAAATCTGTTCTTGCTTCTCTGTCTGGCCCTTTCCTATGTTTGTAGGATCACAACGGGGAATTTCCATTTCTCACTGATGCAGAGTGCTGCCATTTTGCTTAAGTGCTTTCAAATGGTGTTTCTTATGACCACGGAAATATGCAGAGAACAGCAGCAGATGTGCCCATGTCCTCCCTTCTTCAAGACACTTGGTGTTAGCTTCCACATGCATTTAAAGGAGAGACTGTTGTCAGTTTTTAACTAGAATTGTCTTCACTAAAGGGAGTATTACTACCTGATGTAAACATGCTGTGTCGTTTTCTTCTTACTTTTCATTTCTCTTCCTTATGTAATGTTGTTATCAGTTTTCTTCAACTGATGCTGTATTTACAGAAAGGGAAAAAACATGATTGCAACAACAACAAAAAAATAATTGTATTTTAAGTCAAGTGTCCATGTTGTATCGGAAGTTCTTGCCAGGACTGAGGAGCAAGGTCTATCAGAACCAAAAATCTGTTTTTGAAAAGATATTGGTGAAGAAGACAGTAAGAATTCAGGCAAACAAGATAGGAGTGGATCACTGAAACGTAACACTGGAGTGAATTCTGAAGTAATGACGTATTATGTATTGCTCACAGCCATTAACCTTTTTTTAATGTTAAGTATGTTTCTATTGCAGATACGTTATGTTCTACCACAGTTTGTGTGCCTGCTTTGTCTGACCACCTGTGGATACCGACAGCAAGTGGGTGACTTGTGATGTTCTCATTTAAAGAGTTTCATCACTCTTATGTTTCATACGGAGCTTTCTCAAGTGATAAAAGGTAATTAACAGTCAGGGGAGTCATCTGTAGTGAGAGTGCTCTGATTTTGAATCCTCAGAGGTGTGTGTTTGAAATGGTATGGCTTCAGATAGTGGCCCGGGAGGTTTCCCTAGAAACCCACAAAACCAAAAAGACATAAACTGAAAGGCAGGGGGGCGTTATTTTCAAGAGGAGAGTTTAAATTTAGAAAAATTAGTGGACCCCATAAGTGAAATTGTCTGTGAGAAGAAAAACAGTGATATTCTGAATTGGGCTGTGAATGCTGCTTTAATTACATTTTTCCTGGTTGAAGTTAAAAGAACTATATGAATTAGTACAGGCCAATGTGGCAGCTAAAATAAATGTTCACCTAAATGTTTAGGTGCATTTGAAGGTACAGAGAGAAATAGAGAATTGCATATAAACACATTGCATTGTATTGTAGATAATGGTGATTGTTGTTTGAGCAACATAAGGAATAATTAATCTACTCCTTTAAAAATTCAGATTTGTAATATTATCAAGATTAGAAATATAAATATTGGATCACTTTCATTGTTCCTCAGTTCCAGAATCAGATGTTTTATACTTATCAGCTTTGATCTCCCAATTAAGATGTTCATATACCATGAAGATTTTGGTAAACATTTTTGCTATGTGTATAAATAGATGGACAGGCCATTTTTGACTTTCACTGAGTTCTAATTACATGTTGGACATAAATGTTCAGATAGATATGTGTGGACTTTGTGTATTGCACAAATACCTCTGTGGGTACTATGAATAATGTACCTACAAATGTCCCACTCTGGGTATATTAAATCTTCTTTGCTGCCACAGGAATGTTGAAATTCTTTACATGAACACAGAAGTTCTTCTTGAGTTACAGTATGATAACAAATCTGTTTTGTGTTACTCCAGAAAGTGATACTTGGTTATGTTGTGCAAACAAGTAGATTAATGTATCCCAGTATTTTTACTCTCTAATTTCTGTCTGTGTGGAAATATTTAAAACATGGCCTTTGGTTCTTACAGTTGTGGAAGTTAATGCATTTTTTTTTTTTGCAACGTTTAGTCTTCCTGCTGCACTAAAGCAGTGATCTGTGGATGGAACAAAGAAGGGAGTAAAGTGTGTCCAAGTGGAGTCTTGTCTGTTAAGAAATAAAAGCGAAAGCAATTTTGTTAATGGTGAGCTCTTTCACACCACCTGTGAGTGGTGACCATCTGTTTCAATGAGAAGCTCTCTTGAATTTCTTAGAACCATTTTACTTAGACGTATAGGACAAAGGCCAAGAAAACATGTTTTCTATTTTTCAGTGAAGAAAATGATGTTTCAGGGATATTTTACTTTCACCTATTTCATGTGTGCTTTGACATAAAAGACAAAGTTTGAACTTAAAGATGACTAAATTGAAATGGTGACAGAAATGGATTGCAGGTGAAAAATCTCAAAATACTATTGTCTCCTGGAAGCTTTGACATTAGTGCAAAAAAGAAAAGAGGAAAATAGGGTAGTCTGTTCCAGTATTTACTCTGAATTTTTTACTGCACGTTGTTGATACTTGATTTGCCATTCTTAGATAGGATTCAAGAATGTTCCCTTGTGTGTGGGGGGGGGGTGGGAGGGTGTTTAAACATATAAATATGTAATAACAAGGAATTGTGAGGTTTTTTGAATTGGCATATGTGTTTATAAAAATACAACCTTTATGAAGGAGAGCTAGACACAAGCATGTCTGAGTATTTTCAAATTGGTCACCTTTTCAGTTAGCCCTGCTAAGATTAGGGAGATGATAGCAATATTTCCATTGAGTGTCAGAGAAAAGCAATACCAAATGACCAAGATAAAAGTATCTGCCAATTTAGGTGAAGGTTTGAATTCAGCAGATCATTAATATTAGAGTATTTCACAAAAAAAATCTTGGTAATTAGAGAAGGCTTGCACTGGAGATTAAAGGTGTGAAAGATTTATATAAGCGAATGCTAGAACACAAAGATTATTCTCTTCTATATTGCTGACAGAAGTAGTGAGCTGTCTTATAAGCATGACAGTTTCTGGTGAGGTCGTGGTTATTTTCTTCAATGAAACATGAATTTCTAGAACTTCACTGAACACTTAGTTCTGTACAATCTTTGCTACTTGAAAACTGAAGTATTTTCATTTTAAGGTGCCTGACTGTGGCTCAGGCCTAGTGGATCAGGACCCAAATAATGTATTAAATGACACTTGCACCTAGAAATTCAGATTTATATTTCTGTGATATACTGGATTTTTGTGTTGCTTCAATCTGGGAATTTAAATGATGTATTGTTCTGTTGATGATGGTGTTGGATTAGTGTTTGTTTTAATTACCATTAAGATAGTGTAATTTTCTTCTCCTGTATATGTAATTGAATATATTTATCTAGCACATAGTTCATGAAGCTAATCCTTTTTTCCTTTATGATGTTAAGCCTTTTTTCTACTTAGGTATGATCCTTTCCCATAGAACAAGTCATCTTTAACCTACATAAATGTATAATCATACACTCATCCTTTCCTCAGTAATTGTAGTTTTGAGAAAATAAAAAAATCTCCAAACAGTTCTTTTATGATAAAGCAATGTAGTTCAATATAAACAAAAGCTATTGTAAATTGCACCTTAGGAATGCAACACCCATCTGGCAATAGACTTTTATAAGTTAACAGTAACATTTTAAAAATCTACTCTTTGTAACTGGTGGCTTATTTATACCTATTCCACATTTAAAAATATTAAGGTATGAATTTTAGGTGGTAGCTACTTGTTACACAGTTATCATAAAAGTAAGGCTTTATAAACTGACTTAGCCCTAATTCTGAAAAATTATATATATCTAGAAAGTCAAAGTGAAGCTCAGTTCTTAGTAAACCTTCTAAACTTGTCTCTTGTCCTCAGCAGTAGGAATCAATGTTTTCCATGTGTCAGAAAGGTACCATCATTAGATAGGCATATTGCAAGCAAAACCAAATACAGTTGGTCAAGGAGTACTCCTTACGTTTCTTTTAGGGAAATGCTCTGAGAAGAACGAGAACAAACAATGGCCTGTCTTACAATGACAAATATGGAAGGCACAGCAACTTCTACCGTGCACCAGAATGGTGACATCCTTGGGAATACCAGTGCACCCAAGCAGACAGAACCATTGCTTCAAGTGTACCTTTATCATTCTCCTGGGAAGACAGGAGGAGATTATCTTCAATTTCCAGCTGGAGAATATATTGCAGAAGAGATTTGCACTGTTGCCTGTAAAGCCTGTGGTAAGTATATACACAATAATTTTCCTAATGAGAAACTGAAATTCAACTTGATGCAAGAGTGTTTTTAATAATCCAGAGCTCATCAAAATGGTGGTGTTTTGATTACTTCTCAAACATCAGAGGGATTTGCATTTCAATCACTATCAGAAGTAATTAGCACAAGGCTGTGAAAGTCTTGCTGTTGGAAGGGTTGTGAAGCAGAGGTTATCATCAGGTCACTGCCATCTTTTTTTTTTTTTTTTTTTTTTTTTCAAATAATTTGAAGGTATATTATCCTTTACCTAAAAGTTTTATCTGAGCTGAGATATTGCTTGGAAAGTTAAATCACAGTGGGAGCTGGAAATGTATTGAATTACATTCTGATGCAACCCTGCAAAAGAGGTCAGTTCTGACAGTTAAGTATAATTTGCTATAAATGCTTGAGTCACTTTTTAGATGAAAACTGTTCCATTAGTATAACACGGCTCCTTGTGATTTTTTCCTAATTGTTTATGAAATGAAGTAAGTAAATGTAACAGCAATAAACTTGAAAAATAAATAAAAATTCTATATATAGTTAATACCTTTACCACGAACAGATGCTAAGACCTGTAGTAAGATAATTCAAACATGCATTTGGTACAGGCATTTATCTTTCATTACAAAAGTAGGTTAAATCTGTGAATTTGGGCAATTTGGGAAGAAGAAAATTAATCTCAAAAAAGTCCAGATATTAAAGCAATTCTTTGTCATCCACATGTGCGCACACATACACATGTACACAGAGTCATCTTTTATTGGCTCTCAGTGGTATGAGGCTGGTTTTGTCTTTTAGCTTTACAAGTGCTGTGTTGCAGGTGTAAGTGAATTTAAAAGAAAGGATCTTAATTTCAAATATTTCATTTCCAGTGAGTCACAAGCTGCTCTCTCTGTACATTTTGTTGTCTCTTAGTGTCTTGTATTTTGGTGGTTTTGTCTTTTGATTGCTGTACTGTATTTAAGCATGGTTTTACTTGTTTTTTTTTTGTTTTGTTTTGGTTTTTTTTGGCAGGGGTCTAATTGTTTTTCCTGTGCTGTTGAATGTCTTGTACTGCCTGAGTTGTGTGCTGTGAGTGGGTGATTTGTTTGCATGTGGTAGTTTTCATAAAGCTTCTTCTGGATTTAAGCCCCACTGCTCCTTAGAATTGTTTAGGCATGATGGAGTCAGACTAAGATCTGAGGATCTGAGTCTGTAGTGTTGTTGTTCCTGTGATATCTTTATAAGCCTAAGAGATTTATGCAGATAGGCATGTTTTAGTGATTTTGGCAGAAGCACTGCCAGGGATTCATTTTGGGACAACCATGATGAGGTAGTATGGTATTTAAAGATTTGCAAAGTTTTAGTTGCAGTGTGAGATTCTGCTGCTTTAATGACAGATAGACCTGAGAGTGTTCTGGAAATTGAAGCATCTTTTTGATGGTATCTTGGATCAATATCTTCCAGGTATCTTTCAGTGTCTCCCCAGACTGCTATAGTATCTTTCCTCCACTAAAAGCAAAATAAATAAATAAATAAATAAATAATTGTCTTCCCCACTTTGGAAAACGTGCCCTCAGAGACTTCCCTATTGTCGTTGAGTTCTGCAGTAAGAATGCATTGCTTAGCATTGATGACAATGTTTTTTGGGCTTCAGTTTTACCTCTGTTGCATGTCAGACCCTCAGGTACAACATCTAAAAGTGTGTAAAGCTGGTGCTGCATGTGTGTGCATGTGAAGGTTCTTTGCTTTGAGTGTTAGGATGGAATTGATTTTACATTAGGTAGGTAAATATTTTTGTGAAAATAAATACTGGTGTAGTGATGAGGCATTGCTGAGGGAGTGAACTGGAGAACAATTTTACTAGATACTTGTGAGAAAAAATGCTTCTTTAGCTTTGATCTTCATGTGCTAACTTACCAGAATATTAAATCAATGGGGTCTTATATCTGTCAAACTTAGTATCTTCAAAATACCATGGTCTTGAAGGAATATACTGCATCAACATCCATGACATCAGGTACCTTGCTTCCTGTGCTTCCTGTCCTGTGATGGTGTGTGTTTTTTTTTTGTTTTGTGTTTTTTTATTAATTTTTTTATTTTTATTTTTTTTATTTTTATCTTTGTGTGTGTGTTTTTTTGTTTTTTTGTTTTTGTCTTGGGAGAATAAAAAGACATCACAAATCTTTCTATCTTTCCTGATGAATGAGTTAATTAAAACTCTCACCTTCCAGAAAAGCTCCCAGCCTAGTCTGAATTCACTGGAATAGTAATTACCTTGGTAGTTTTACTAGCTGTTTCTACTGTTATTGCTCGTCTGCCCACTTTTTTTTCTTCCTTTTTCTCAGGTTTGAATTTGCCTTGCTTAATTTTCAGATGTTTGTTCTATTTGTGTTTTTCTCAGCCTTTCCCTGTCACCAATACCTATAGCGTGAGATACTTATATTACCACCATCAGATTACTTTTAGATCTTCTTTTTGCTAAAGTTTTTTGATCGATTTCCTTAACTTGAATGTATTAACTGTTTTCATTTTTGTCTGTCTTTCACACCATCTCCAATTTCCCAATAAAATGTTCAGACCAGGCCATGTGCAATATTCTTCTCACTCATATCACAAACATAGAGACATAGAAACTAATTCCTGTTAATTCAGGAAGATTTCTCAGACCTCATCAATCTGTCTAAAAGCTTCTAGCATTTTGGGGTACTTGCTCCTGTTTTGTATCCTTTTGTAGTTGACTCTTAAAAATTATCTTGTATGAGTAGTATTCCTTACTAAGCAGTTCTTAACTTTTTATCTATTGTTCCATCATTCTTCACCAGAGTTTGTAAACTGCATTGATAATGCTTTTGTACTCATTTCTACAAATGAAAGTGTTTTATCATGTCGAGGCTTTATCCTTGTAGAGCTGAGGTCCAGAAAGTCTTCTGAAGAGTGGTTTCTGCCTGGCTGCTACTATGGCATTATTGCACAACCTGTTTCTCAGAGGAATTTGTAACTTCATTTCCTCCTGAGTTGCTGGAAAAGGATGGCTGTAGGTTTTTGTTCTCTTTCATAATAGTCATTAGTACTTAAATCACAACCTTCCACTTCTTATTATTTTCTCTTTTTTCTTGGAGCTTTTATGCTTGTGAGGCAAAACACATTGGTCTGCAAAGCACATGTGCTCCAATAGTGCTTATGTTGGCAAGACTTTTCTTTCAGGAATTTTCTGTGAATCAGTATACTTCATAAAAAAGAGAGTGGTTTAGGTAGGTAGTAGGAATGTTTGAAATACAATAAACTTGGTAAATGTTAATGAACTTTCTCCATGATTTGAGCAATTGCTAGATTTCTTGATAGCCAAGCTGGTTACATCAAAGTATGGCTGTTACTTGTGACAAGCAAGATTGGATCTAGGCAAACACAGCAGTCAGAGGGACAGCCTGGTTATGTACCTTTTACACAGTTCAAACAATTGAAGGTTTTCCAATCTATGCGAACTTGGCTTTAGATCTGTTGTATGTGGCATGTATTGGCTATATAAATATTAGTCTGCATAAATATTGTTCTGTAGTTGCTTGCCAGTTTAAGCCATGCATGTAGAAACTAAGTCTTTCCTCACTGTATTTGGAAAGAACTTCTAATTTGGGGAAAAAATATAATAAATAAGGTACTTCTCAGAGGTTGTTCAGATTTTTACATGAAAAAACGTCAGAATATGAAACTGAGAATTAAGTTTTCTAACCAGAAATGCAAGAATAATTAAGTGTCTTGAATTTAAGCTTGAATTGATTAGTCATTTTCAGGGATCAGCAGTACCAGCATGTTTGTTGTCTGCCATGTTGAAGAGCTATAAATGTCACCCCGAAAACAAGCCTTAGACCTCAGCCTGAGAAAAAAAAAATATTAGAGGAAGTAACTGACTGTGGAAATAAAATAAGACGGTATTGTGGTTTAACCCTGCAGGCTGCTAAACACTACACAGCTGCTCGCTCACCCTCCCCAGGTGGGATGGGGAAGAGAATTGGAGATGTAAAAGTGTGAGAACTCCTGGGTTGAGATACAGACAGTTGACTAGGCAAAACAAAAGCTGCACATGCAAGCAAAGCAAAACAAGGAATTCATTTGGTACTTCCCATCAGCAGGCAGGTGTCCAACCACCGACAGGAAAGTCAGGCTCATCATGTGTAAAACAGACACCTTCTGTCTTGTGTAAGACAGACACTCTTGGGAAGACAGACACCATCACTCCCATCACCCGCCCCTTCTTTCTTTATCCTGGCTTCAGCACAACGGTATAGACTAACCCTGTGGTCAGCGGGGACCAGCTGTCCTGGCTGTGTCCCTTCCAGCTCCTGCTGTACCTCCAGCCTCCTCACAGGCCCAGCAGCATGAAAAGCAGGAAAGACTCTGTGTAAGTGTTGTCTATGACAACTAGAATATTGGTGTGTTATCACCACTACTTTCTTAAAAATCCAACACACAGTCTTGTGTGAGCCTTTATGAAAAAAATCGACTATGTCCCAGCCCAAACTGTGATAGACAGAGAAATTGTTCCAGAGGTTATAGCATTGCTGTATTAGATTCATTTTCTAGATTCAGTATCCGAGACTTGTTTTCAAAAGTCATGTTTTATACCCTTCCACTTTCTCCTTTCCTCCAAATCAATCTAAAATGAAATTACTTTTAATTTGTTTTAGTGTATTTATATTCAGTTTGTTAAAAAAAAAAAAAAAAGTCAACCATCAAAACCATACAAACACTAGTAGTAATGCACCAGAAATGTTGTGAGACAGCATTAAGGCAAGCTCAATGTGACATTATACAGAAGAATGGTTTAAAGAACAACTGGATTCTTCATTTATAGTTAGTTTCACTCAAAATGTAAGCTAAAAACCTATAAATCTGTTTTTAGAGATTAGAAGATGTAGTTGAAGCTATCACTGGACTGATGTTTTTGTGGTACAGGTAGATCAGATACAAACTGCTGGGACCATCTGAAGTGTTCAAATATGAATCA